TAATTATAATACTTTGTACGACATTTATATTATAACACAAAAATGTGTATATAATGTTTTATTTTATAATTCGTATTAATTATGTAAGATTGTGTATTTGATATACGGATATTAGGTGGATCTTGGGTGGGGATTAGGCGGGTTTTTGGTGGGGATTAGGTGGGGATGGATATCTAAGTGGGGGGTGGGGCGGGGATGGTTTTGGAGTTGTACTCGGTGGGGCGGGGATGGGGATGAAAATTGGACCCGCCGCGGGGATGGGGATGGGGATGGGGATGAAAATATTAGGTGGGGATGGGGATGGGAAGACCAACATCCGCCCCGGCCCGCCCCATTCACATCCCTAAATATGATTGCTAAATGCTAATAATAGTAGTACTAGTACTAGTATATTCCATGAACATATCTATATTGTTTATAGTTTTTGCATAGAACTATTGCAGACAACGCAAGGGCAAATCATAAGCACATACATTTATATCAAGATCAGATTTGGAAGATCACAAAAAATTGGAAAAATAAACAAGAAGTACTTGGTTACACACTCTATCACATGGGAAAAAAATAAAAGGTTTTGAGGTATGCCTGACATTTATAATTTTAAGTTGATAAAAATTATGCCTGACAAATTGGTGACTAAAGAAATAGAGGACGACCACTATAAAAGATGTTAATCAACATCGCCGCATCATTTTCATCCTCTACAAAAGGTATATCCTTTTTTATGCACATTTTTCTAGGGCCACATTCAACCATGCGTTCATGTATTTGGGCAATTGGACATCACCCGCATGAGTATCCTCGAATATCCAAATTTGTGTATCCTACTCCTCATTCTGTTTTGTACTCTTTTTGTTCTAATTTACTTGTTCTATACTTATTTGTATATCATTTTATATAATAATATAAGGTGAGTGTGAGACACAACTCAAAAGAAAAAAAATTATCTGTGAAAGGAAATGAAATAAGTAAATTAGGATACCTCAAATAAGAACTTGATGCAAGTAAATTAGTACAAATGTAGCATTAACCGGTATGATTTGACTCGTCACATTGGTTAATGTACAACATGTGTAACACTAATTCTTATAATTATGTATCATACAATATGTACTATTACTATAAAAATTTGATCTTATAAAAATGTAGATTATCACAAACTTAACATCAACTTTTAATATGATAATATTTATTTATTTAGGTATTAACAAAAAAATAGTCAAAATTGATACATGAATAAAAATTAAACTATAGTGATTAATATAAATTGATGGGAGTGATTAGTACTTGTTTGGTTGACATAAAAATAGATAGTGATAGTACTAAATGTTAAACTATAGCGATTAGTCGTACAAAATGATGAGAGTAATTTAAAAAGTGGAAGAATGAGTTGTTTGACGACAAAAGCATGGATAGTTGTATTTCCCACAAAATTGAGAAAATTAGCTACTATTAACTTTTCGTGGGAGAAAAAGCTTTCTATGTTCAATCAAAAAGCATTTTATTCTTAAGAACTGAACTACAAGGAAAAAATAATCTCCTATAAAATGTGAGATGTAGGGGTTGTTGGATCACCGGTCAATCCCTTAAATTTCAGGTGAGTTTTAGATTTGATTCTCATTAAATCTACTTTGAGAGGATTTTCCTTGTTCTCCTTTCTTAGGAAATTGATTTTAGCACACCTAATATTGATATAGCAAATCTTATGCGAGAAGAGCATAGAAAGTTGTACTCTTTCTTTTTGGTGTACCAAAATCATTTCCTCCTCTCTCAAGGTGTGTGTTCTTCTTAGGTATCCGAACAAAAAAAAAAAAAAACATTACTTCTTTGACTAGCTAGGTGAGCTACTTGATAAACTCAGCCACTCAAGATATATATAGCTTTGACAAGCCCTTATTTCTTCCAAACAATCCGATGCTGTCACATCTGGGATTTAGTGCTCATCGGCCCAAACTTAGGAGGGTGTTGTTAATTGCCAGCCACTTTGAATTGCCATAGCATCCCAAACCAAACTTAGGGTGTTGTTACTTTTTATAATGCTACAAAATTTTCGCATGTAGCTGAGTATTAAGGGTGTGTTTAATTCATCTGATTTTCACTCACCTGAACTTATTAAAATTTATTTTAGTTGTAATTTGTACTTGAATAACCTTAAAAACTTTTTTTTTTTTGAACTGAACTTATCAAATCTGAAATAAGTGAAAATAAGGTGAACAAAACAAGCCATAAGTTATAAATATCTTTGTAATGAGCTACAAGTATTTTTTTTTAAAAAAAAAAACAAAAAAAACCTAAATCATATGTTTCTAATTTTATTCATATTTTTGATTGATTCCATATTTTTTCAAAAATAAAAAGGTTGATTGGTTACATATGATGTGGTCATGTCTCATGTGGTGAATTGTGGTTTTACGAGGCTTTGTTTCAAAAAAATTTTGGTGCAAACCAACCCGAAAAAAATCTAACCAAGCCTCTAAAAGAACAATTTGGTTTACGATTCAGTGTGGTGTAGACCATTCTAAACAAACCTACATCAAACAACTATCCAACAAGGCAACAACTAGTACAACAAGGAGTAGTTTGGCTGTAAAGATCTGCCATTCTTTTGATAGCGAGAAAACTAATTATGGTTGACTGGGAGATTGAACAAGAACTACTTTATTTCTTCCGGAGGTAATATTCAAGTACTTTCTATGTAATGTTCAAGTTCGGAGTAAAAAACTGTTGATACAAAAAAAAAACTACTTTGGACACGTTTGACTTTTGACACTATTCATTAACTTTGCTTTGATTAACATTTGTGATTTATAGGTATATGTAGGATCTTGTTAGAATCGTTTCAATGTGTACTTAATAAAATTCAATTTTTAATATATTTTACAATAATATAATTAAAGATATATCCGCTTGAAATTTTACATTGACAATCGTGATAAAAGAAACGTGTCATCTAATTTGAAACAGATAGAGTACTACGGAGCATCAAAAATTTACAAGTACTTGACGTTATGTTTAATGTTTGTTTTGTGGGTGAGTAAGTGAATTGGGCCTTTAAACATCAATTCAAATATTCATATATTTTTTGTGAAACCAATTCAAATATTCATATGATTTCATATCCTACGAGCCTAAAAAGAAAGTTTTAGTCAAATAGTCAAACCAAGCACTTATAATACAAAGAATTATAGAAATTACAATGTATTTAACTAGAATGAAAGATATATAACTTGCCTCACTTCCAAGCCTTCACAAAAGAACATGAACATGAGAATTCCATTGACCACATGAGTCCCAAACCTTGATACTTTGTCTTAGGTGTGTGAAACACTTTCCTAAAGAGATTAATTTCCCCCACAACGGTGCTTGGGTTTATACTGAAAATTCTCTTTGAGATACAAAAGACAACACTTCGTTCTTTGCACTAAGAGACGAAATTAGATGATCAAATTCACAAATTTAGGCTAAATTGATAGTGATTTCAACAAGAGTTTGCAAGATTCTTGAGAGAAAAAGTGTGGAGAATGCTTAGAGAAGAAAAAGTATAAAAAACAGAAAATCTATTTTTGTAAAAACGAAGCCTCCTCTAATTAAAAGGAAATAACCGCAAAAAAACGCAGACGAGGGAAGCAGCGCGGGCGTGACTAACAGCGGCACGGGTGCGCCTCCCAAAATCTGCCAAAAATTTGCCTTGATCCTGAGACTTGACGCGGTTTTGTCGCGCTTTTAGCACGGGTCGCGCCTACCTGGCACGGGCGCGCCACTTCGAAATCGAAATTTCTTCACTGGATCCAGAAAGTCAGCGCGATTTTATCACGCCTTGATCATGGGTCGCGCCCTATACATGGGACGCACAATCCTTACGGATTCATACACTCTAAATTACTAACATTTACTCCGAAATTAAAATTGTTAATGTTAATCCTGGTCTTTCAATTGATGGGCTAGCAGGTTATATGCCCAAGGGAGGATTATTAATACAAATATTGATTTTAATTGATGCAAAATCATTTCTTTGATTTAATATGGGGTGGGGGTGGCACATACTAAACATTTCATCTTGCAAATTCCAATTAGTGTTATATTGCATTTGCTCTTTAATTGGTATTTGGAATTTTTTTGGGTTTATGGATGTACATACTCATGATACTGTACTACCATACTTGTAATTTGCTATGTGAGGCTCGCAGACTTTTAGTAATTTGCATTGCTTTAAGCTCATCCTGTCTTGTTTTTTAAAGTTTTGTTAATTTGAGTTTCCTGTTAACCGGAGAAGAAGCTTTCTGTGTAGTACGAAGTATATTTTATAGCCCATTTGGTAATTGGTTATAAATGGTGGTAATAGAAATGAATTGTTAAGTGTAAATTAGGGAAGAATTTAACACCGTAATCCCCATGGTAATGTAATTTCATCCTCTAGCTTGTATTTTCTCCATGTTTTTCAATTGCCATCCATTACCACTTGAGACTTTGAGAGGAGGTATTGGGTGGGAATGAATTTTTTTTTTAAAAAAATGGACAATTTGGGGCGAACTAGCAGTGCCATGGGAATGATCCTTGAATTTCCTTACAAATTTACATACAAAGTCATCCTCATTACCATCATTTAAAACCAGTTACCAAACGGCTCGTTAGTGGTTTCTTATAACTGGGATAAATTAATGACAGAGCTGTGACATTGTAGTGTACAAATGGATGTTCTTGTGACTATAATGCTGACCAGTTTAGCAAGTGCTAATATCGAAAGACCCAAATATGTATTCCTGTAGGCTGTACCATATTTTGGTTAGTTTGTATGATTTTTCTGACCTTTTGTGTGTGTCTGTGTTGGGAACTTGGGATCAAATGGTGCTATTATCGATATGGTTGATGAGAGGTCTTCTGGTTAACTGAACCTGAATTAGTCCTCCATATATTATTACAGTATGAATGCTAAACTTGTACTTATAATAGATTTGGACCATAATTGAAAAAGTGTCTAGTAACTTCAGATTTAATTTTAATTCACATTTTCACTAATTTGTTGAATCGGAAGCAAAAGCTCTGTTCCTTATTCCTAATTATCTTTTAGCTACAAACTACAGTGAAATGGCGAGGGGTAATTTTTTGTATTTTGGTTGAAGCCGTTAACACTATTTGAACATGCTTAGGAGCTGTCTTTGTTTCTAAATCTCAACATGCATCAGAGCATGTAGTTGCCTATCTAAATCGGTGCATGCGGTGCTTGATTGATTTAGTAATACATCAATGCTGGATTGATGTTCATTCAGCCAAGATCTAGAAATTATTGCATGTCTTGTTCTGTTTACATTTTTTTTCTGTTAGCCTTTTTTCTGGAAAAGAAAGAAGCATTTGTGGTTATGGCTAAGTCTTATTTTATTCTTAATTTAGGTTGAATATTGGTTGTTTTCATGGATGCTGACCGGTTTGGATCAAGGTGTGAAAGAAACAAAGAATAAGAGAGGGTTTTGTGGGTGGATAAAGGTAGGGAGAAGGATAATGACAGGGATAAGCATAGAAGGAAAGATGATGATTGAGATGAACATGAAAAAGAATAAGGGAGAAAAAAAAGAGAATTTATTTAATCATTGTTGGTATCAGATGCTGATATGATTGAAAATGTGGAAATTGGGGAGTGCAAGCGGAGGAGTGAAGCTTACAGAGTAGCGAAGAAAAGTTCTGGAACATTTGTCGACAGGTGAGTTTTGGAAAAGCCACCATTGGCACCATTGGTTCATGTAAAAGATTTTTTATTTTATTTTTTTTTAAATTTCATAGCCTCATAATCACACAGAGCTTCATTCCTAGTTTCATAAGAACTTCAGCTGTCATGGCACCTTGGTATACTAGAAGTTTTAAGCTGCATTCCTAGTTTCAAAATTGAAAATTTCAGCTTTCTGTATGTTGATCTAAACAACTAAAACATCTTACTGTGATTAATAGTGTGGGTAAAGCTCATCCCACAACTTACAGTCCATTATTATTAGGTCCAAGTGAATATCCATGGGGTTGGGACTTGAAATGCGGTGTTGGCATTGGCAAGAGAGTGAAAATCCTCTTCTTTTCCAAGCATAGGCACTTTCTCTCCTCTTTGGCAGAAGGCTGAATATGTCAGCATATCGCAACAACGAGCATTTTTTAGGTCTGAGTTTTAACTTAGAGAGTTGTGTCTATTTACTAGTGTTGATTAAAAAAAAAAAAAAAAAAATCAGTTGGATTCCAGCAGACGACAATGTGCAGTGCTATTTTAACTTATAGGACATGTTATTAAGCCTTGTTTTGATGGATGAAATTTCCCTGTGTGTGTTTGATGACTTACTGATTTGATTCTCTAGAATGACGAGCTTGGGGTAGATAAGAGGCCTCTACAATATGATGATCCTGCTGAGAATCTAATGCTGTGAATCTTATTTCAATCATTGAAATTGTGCCATTGATAAGTAAGTTATATGAAATAGCCGTGTTCAGTTTGGTCTATTGTGTCATGGTGTTGTAGCTTGTTAACTTTGCTTCCTTTGGGGTCATCATCTTCCAGGGGATTGTCTTAAATACCTACTGGGCGATTAACTGGTGAAGCAGAGAAGAATTATCCAGCCAAACTTTATTGTCTCTAAGAACCGGTTCCATGTAAAGTCTGAACCTTTCTCGTGTATGTAAATTACCTCTCTTTTTTCACTCATCAGCTCCGCAGAAGGCTTCAGGGTCCTCTCATGAATGTCAGATTGCTATACTTCTGAGGAAATGCTGAAGTTCAGGAAACCCGAAAAAGAATTTTCATAAAAAGGAGAAGCTTGACATAGATGATCTTGAAGCAGAGGCAAGCTCTTGAAGGAGAGGCTTTAGATCTCAGTATTTGTCGATTGGAGAACTGGATTTGTCACTTTGGAGGTAATCAAGCTCCAAAGGCTCCTTTTATATCCCCGATAATAGGTCTTGTGCAAATTAACTTTTGTACTGAATTGTGTGTGGTATTGACTGATACAGAGTATGTTTTTTAATTCATTAGTGTTTAATAGAAAGCTAATTGGTTTTGAAGCTGATTTATTTCTGTAGTAGGTCTTATACATTAAGTTGTTTTCTTCTGATACCGTTGTCCGTATTGATTAGGAATTCTTAGGTCATTCCATTGCTGAATATTTTGGGTGCTGTAACTATGTGTTATTAGTGTGATTGTGTGACTGAATGGAATTGGTTTCATGACTTGCTACATTGTCGTTAGATTCTTGGCCATGTTTCTCATACTTTGGTTGGTTGATTTTTCCATATTTTAAATAACTTCTATGCAAACTGTAAGTTAAAGTTGCATATTTGTCCATCCAAGAATATACACGTTTGCTTATAACCCAAAAGATAAAAAAAATAAAAAAATCTTATTGCTATATCTGGTTAATATGTACATTTACATTACTATTTGTGTGGTCAATTTTTCCGAAACATAATAATTATAATTTCGATTGATTTACCACTTTTGTAAAAAGTTGACTTTAATGAAGCAAACAACTAACCTGTAAGTTGGATCAATCTTTTTGCATGTTGAATTTTAAGGCAACGCCATATGCCATGCAGATGCTGGTCAGTGGTTGCAAAACTTTCAATCAATTGCAGTGTTACTGGACCATAATGTGAGACTTGGGAGCTAACTCATTGAGATCTGTCTAATCTTAACTTTTTGGAAATTTTGTTAGTAATGTTTTAGAAAATACAAAATTAATGATCTCAATTGACTGTATGTCTCACTGCTTACCATTTCTTTCTTTTCTTTTTTTTTTTTTTTTTTATAAACACAAGCTAGGATTATCGGGAGTACTATTATTTTATACAATGCGTGTGATATGAGACTTAAACCATGCATAGTGTATTAGTGTTAGTTAATTTGTTGCATTTATTATGAAACGGATTGGAGGAAGCACTATATAAATGGTGACGCAAATCAATAAGATGCTACTTCTAGGCAATAGTGTTGATAAAGTGTTTATGTGTTGAGAACCCTAATCATAATATGTCATTAAAGAACCTAATTTTAGTTGTAATTCTTTCTTAGGATAATCATGATCAAGATCCTTATCACATGCAACTAGAGTTTATTGGTAGAAGTTTTATGTTATTCGAATGATATATCTTTATTAAAGTGATTTACACATTGTAACTATAATGGAAGAAGTATAATTCAATTAATGACCTAATGTAAGTAAAGCTATAAAGATTTAGTTACCTGTCTTACCGCAGGACCACCATTTGGTGGTGTGGTTATTCATAGGTTAAATTAGTGAAAGATGCATGGGGTGGACCATAACCAAAAGTCGTTCACTACACTATTAGCTAATTACTTATATCTATTTTTTGCCAAAATAAAATTGAAGGTTCAATGGGCACTCAAGAGGGGGGGGGTGAATTGAGTGTTAAGTAATCGTTGGCTAATTTTGCTTCTTTTCGGATTATGTGTGAGGAACCAGTTGTGCTGGTTCCCGTACGCAGCGGAATATAAATAAGCAATAAAGAAGACAACAAATTTAACGAAATAAAACAAAGCAATAAAGAACACAACAAATTTAACGAGGTTCAGCCAACTCAGGCCTACGTCCTCCTATCCTAAGTTCTTTATTAATCTACTCCGAAAAACAAAGACAAAGAACACTCTGCTGTTCCCTACTCCGGGAACCAGCAAACCCCACACTCTACTCCGAGTGTGCTCTCAACTTACACTCGTAAGCCCAATATGTTTGAACTCACAAACACTCACCCAGCCTTTAACCCCTTTGTTAAAGACTCAATACAAGAATCAAGAACTCCCCTTTGATCTCACTTCTACGAAGCTAATTAAGAGAAAACGTTTAAGTACTAGAATGCTCTTGTATATGACTTGATGAATGGGATTAGTGCTTAAGTATATGCTCTCAAATAATTGCTCTTTTAATTTCTGGAGAGGCACACGAAATATGTGAAATAAGATGAGTTTATATAAGCTTAGATTCCTAAAACCTAGTTTCCTTAAATCACACAATCTTAGAGAATAAGATATAATGTAATTTTAGGAAAGTTTTTATCTTATTTGATTTAATCACAAAGATAGAATCAATTAAGATAAATACTCCTAGTTTTTAGGTAACCAAGAATATTTCATCTTATTTCCTGCTGCACAAAATATTTTCAAAATAATCTTTTCGAAAAAAAAATCTTTTTGTAAAATCTTTTTCCAAAACGGCAGCTCGAATACAGTGAACCTGGTTCCCCGACCTGGTTCCCTGAATTGAAACATGTTATGAAACCTGTTCCAACTTTGTACCAGATTTCATATCATACTTCAATATACTTTTAAGCACTTATATAACCCAAACATGCAAGCATACTACGGAGCATATTACATGAAAACCTAGATAACATATTAAAGCATAAATCGTCTTTTCTTCATGTAATCTTCAAGACTTGAATCTTCCTTGAATACTTCTATTATGAGCAAACAATCTTTCTTCGAAATATCTTCGAAAGGCTTCTATGCTCCAAGTCTTGGAATCAACTCAACTACTGCACATGTAACATGGTTAATGCACAATAAAGAGTATGTGACTGCTTTACCACGTAGCAACCATGGAAACAGTACATACTGGTTCCCTACCAGTACATAACACTTTTATCATATAACTGTTCCCTGTATAAAGACAAGTTAGTTCAATAAGAAAACTCATGTAAGTAATAACTTGTCTGGGGAAACAGTGTTCTATGTTAGCTGGTTCCCCCAACTGTATCGAACACTTTCAAGGACCTGTTTCCCTTAGCTGTTTGTCATCATTCAAAACTATCAATCAAAACCTAAGGGACTCAACAAATTCCCCCTTTTTGATGATGACAAACTCTTGAAGTTCTTGAACCTGTGGACATGCTCAAAAAGAAAAACCGTCAAAAACTTCAAGGACTCAAAACTCTTTGGAACAAGTCAGTTAGGCCAACTGGTTCCCTAAACAGAAAATAGAAAATACGAAATAAAAAGACTCAAACTGACTCAATCTAAACTAGCTAAACCTTAGGCTTCAACTTCAGACTACTTCCCCCTTTTGGCATCATTAAAAAGTATCCACAAGTAAAAGCAATGTGCACAAGTTAATGTGCTTATCCATACAATGGCATCAACCACCATTCAAGCATTATGCTGCAAAAAGAGATTAGTCAAACAGTTCATACCATAGCAGAGTTAGTAGTTCATACAAGCCAACAAAGTTCAACCAAGGAAGCCCAAATCCATCCAAAAAGAAAGTTCATGGAATGGAGAGAAGTAGACAGACCAACAAAATCAGTTATTTAAGAATAAACATGAGGATGAGGAAAACAAGAACAGAAACAGCATCACTCCTCATCATCATTCTCGTTCCCTTCCTCCTCCTCGAACTTTGCAACATCTTCTGTATTATCATCTGATTCCTCTTCATCCTTGTCACCATGCTCTGCTTAAACCAAAATCATTATATTACTAAGCATATTCTTGTGATTCCCCAATCTGTTTCAAAACCACTTCCTGACCTGCTGGTTCCTCTATTTTTTTTTATTTTTTTTTTTTTTTTTTATTTTTTTATTTTTTTTTTTATTTTTTTATTTTTTTTATTTTTTTTATTTTTTTTATTTTTTTTTTTTTTTAAAGAAAGCATGAGAGATATGTACTGATTCAGAATGTTCTCCTTGTTGCATAACGAGTGCAAAACTGTTCTCCTTGTTGCATAACGAGTGCAAAACTAGCATCACATCAATCAAGCAAAGAGGTTCTTGCTGGTACCCTTTTTCTCTTGGTTCCTGGAACAGCGTCAATGGACTGTTCCTCCTGCACCTTCTCAGTGAACTTCTTTAATTGAGTTATTCTACTTCGTACCATGGTCTTAGCAGTGGGTGTCTCCTCATAATAACCAACAACCTCTATTTCATCCTTTTCACTCTGACTTTTCTGAATTTCCTCCAACTTCGGGCTTAAGGACATTTATGCTTCCTTCTGATGTTCCCCCTGAGACTGAGCTGGTTCCTTGAGTGAACAGTAACCGAATGAACAATGATGAATTTAAAGCATACGAGAGAGAGAAAGAGAATTTCGAGTGATGATGATTGATGATCTGCACAAAGGGTTAGTGTATATTTTTAACAATGAAGCACAAAGAGAGAAGAAGGAAAGAAAAGAGTTAGTTGAGCCAATAAAAAGCAACTGTAAAGGATATTTTTAAATTGAAATTAAAAATTTGGTAATTATCTTTTACCATAATTATCTCAACCAACTATAAATAAGGCATATGATATGTTTGCCTTTTATATGGGATTAAATAACTGAAATAAGATAAATTCCTTCCAAAAGGAAATATCTTATAGTAATCTTCCGAAAATAAAAGATATTATCGGATGACATATCAGAGCTGGTCTGCTGTTTCCCTTTGCTGGTACCTGTATAGAACCATGTCACGCTGTTTCTGGCAATTCAGCCTGATTTCACCTGTTTCTTACAACAATGATTCTCAATCCTTTTGAGATTTTGAACCATCTACACAACACTTGAAAGATATCAACATAAGTATGTACACACACTATACAAGAGAATACCATTCTAACCAATCATTGAAGGAAGTAATTGAAGCCAATACCTAAAATCTAACTAGACCTAAAAGGACTCTTAACCTACAAAAAGACTCTCTACACAAAGGCTTTGTGAAGATATCAGCAATTTGATCTTCACTTTTACAAAACAACATCTCCACCAATCCTTTTTCCACATTGTCTCTTAAAAAATGGTGTCTTATTTCAATGTGTTTTGTCTTGGAGTGTTGCACAGGATTCTTTGAAATATTGATTGCACTAGTGTTATCACAAAAAATAGGAACACTTTTATAAATAACACCAAAATCTTTCAGCTGGTTCCTTATCCACAGTAGCTGGGAACAGCATGAAGCTGCAGCTATATATTCAGACTCTGCCGTGGATAGGGCCACTGAATTTTGCTTTTTAGAACCCCATGAAATTAGACAAGAGCCAAGAAAGTGTGCCATACCTGATGTGCTCTTTCTATCAACTAAGAAACCAGCATAATCTGCATCTGTGTATCCAATAAGATCAATGGTACTGCCTTTGGGGTACCACAATCCCAGATTTGCTGTTCCTACAAGATACCTAAGTATCCTTCTAACAGCCTTCAAGTGAGATTCCTTTGGATTGCTTTGAAACCTAGCACACAAACCAACAGAAAACACAATGTCAGGTCTACTAGCTGTTAGGTAAAGTAGAGAACCTATCATTCCTCTATAAAGAGAAGCTTCAACATCTTTTCCCTTAAGATCAGCATCTAATTTTGTAGATGGGGGAACAGGTGTATCATAAGCTTTGCTGTTCTCCATGCCGAATTTTTTCAGCAACTCTTTTAAGTACTTTTGTTGATGGATCATTATTCCATCATCCATTTGCTTAATCTGCAGCCCTAG